ATTTTCCACGACGAACATGCACCACTTTCGAAGGCAAATGTGCATGATCTGTTATGGCAAACGCGCATCATTTTCCAAGGCTAACGTGCATCACTTTCCATGGCAAGTGTGCATCATTTTCCATGGCAGATGTGCAGACCTTCGACAAGCGTCGCCGTCGGCAAGGAGCGGTCGGCGGTCCTCGCATGACCTTGGGCGCGACCTCGGCACAACCCGGCCCGGGAGCGATCTCGGCCGAGCCGGCGCTCCGGGTGTGAGTCGCGATTGGCATTTCGCGCCCGATTCACTTCGACAATCGGAGACAGCAGCGGCGTGGCGATCGTGCTGGAGCCCTGCAGCAGGGCGGGTCCAGTCCAGTCCAGTCCAGTCTAGTCCAGTCCAGTCCAGTCTAGTCTACAGTCCAGTCCAGTCCAGTCCAGTCCAGTCTAGTCTACAGTCCAGTCCAGTCCAGGCCAGGCCAGGCCAGGCCAGGCCAGGCCAGTCAAGTCAAGTCCAGTCCAGTCCAGTCCAGTCCAGTCCAGTCCAGTCCCAGTCAGTCCAGTCCAGTCCAGTCCAGTCCAGTCCAGTCCAGTCCAGTCCATCCATCCAGTCCGGTCCAGTCCAATCCTTCCAGTCCATTCAGTCCATTCCAGTCCAGTCCAGTCCAGTCCAGTCCGGTCCAGTCCAGTCCAGTCCAGTCCAGTCCAGTCACGTCACGTCACGTCACGTCTAGTCCAGTGTCTAGTCCAGTCCAGTCTAGTCCAGTCCAGTCCAGTCCAGTCCAGTCCTCGCCGCCGTCACCCGCGCCCACAGCCCGGCTGGTGCCAGCAATGACCTTGACTGTTTACGGCAAGGTCGTCAGATGGTTTCGTAAGAGGTCTGGTTTCAGTCAACGCCAGGCTTGGTAATGCGCATGGCGATAATTGGCAAGGGCGCCTGCAGCGTGTCACGCTGGCTACCAGTGACGTTCAGCAAACGAATAGCGGCACCGGGCTTGAAACAAGGAGACGAATATATCACTCGGTGACATTGAGAATCATCAGACTTTGAGCCCAAGGCGTCGCGAGCAGCTGCAGGAAGGTGTAAATGTACTTCGCACAGGGTGGATATGCCTATGGAAACGGCTATATCCACTGGCTCAAGTTGCCGCAGTGATGTGCAGTGATTGCGGTGATTGCGGTGATTGCGGTGATACTAAGTCCTGCGGTTCCTTGACGGCATTTGACGTTCATTTTGCCACTTTGTTTACCCGTATTTTGGCTGATGTCTGCATACAAAAGAATTTACAACTGCAACTAGGTACTACAATAGCTCTGACCTCGTACAACTCAGTTTGCAAGCCTTCCGGCTCAGATAGCATTCACTTCTGAATAGTTAGATGCGTGTTAGCCCAGCAAGAGCAGCTGCCAACGCACGCATATGTAAATGCTCGTCCACCTGTGCACATAGCACACCATCAAAAACGTACAATGCATTCCAGGTGGAAGTTTCATCGATCACGCTATTCAAAAAAGCACATAAATAAACATCCAGGGTGGCAAAACAAAGATAAACAACATGCAGCCGACGAAAATAAGCTAATTGGTCCTGCAACTGGTCTTCAGCGGCCTGGTCCGAGCACTTCGCCATAAACACTTCAATCTTGACGGTGGGTGTGGGCGTTTCTCAACATGTGACAACTCATTTAAGGCGATGTGAAGGCATGGCCGCAGCTGCTTCTACCAGCTCAGGGCCACACGTTTATTTTTGCCGTCTACAAGACCACAGGACATAGCGTGCGGACGACGACGGCAAACAAATCCCGCCGCCAACATAGAACACCGCGCAGCCTCCTTCATTCAGACCCGTCGCCTCTCGTGAAGTTTGTCACTTCGAAGTCACGAGCGGAGGGTGGCCAGACGGTTGGCATAGGTGGGGGGGGGGGGGGGGGAAGGCTCCGGTAGCGACCAAAAAACGGCCTCAGCCGCCAGCACTCAAAGGCACCCAGGCACTCAAAACTCGCAACACTGAAAGTGATCCGTTTAACACCAACGACACCAGTGTTGACGCCAAAGACACCAGCCACACCAACAGAAATTACTTGCACGACACCAGCGGCACCAATGCTGACACCAACGACACCAGCTACACCAACGGGAATGGCTTGCACGACACCAGCGACATCAATGTTGACACCGAGGACACCGGCCACACCAACGAAAATGGCCAATACGACACCAGCGGCAGCAATTTTGACACCAACGACACCAGCCATACCAACAGAAACGACCCACACGACACAACGCGACCGCAAGGCCAGGGCTTGGTCACGCGGTCTGTGTATACGACACGAAATTCGCCGAACCCGCTCCTCTGACGTCAGAGCTTGCCCGCTTTAGACGGAGCCGACCGTTTGCTGATGTTTAGACGCTCGGATCGAACCGGGCCCCGGGTCCGCTACGAACGAACACTCAGACTACACACGGCCTCTGTCTCAGCCCGGCGCCGCCCGTGGGACACGGTGGGCGGCACGGGCGAGCTCAGGCGCGGGGACGGACAGACCTGTAGTGGCGTTTGCTGTGGTGTCGGTTGCCGTGTGGTGCATCAGGTGCGGGTACGGACGGACCATCAGCTGGCGTTTGCTGTTGTGTCGGGTGCCGTGTGGTGCATCCGCGCAGCCGCCGATGATGGGTGCGACGGGCGAGCTCAGGCGCGGGGACGGACAGACCATCAGCTGGCGTTTGCTGTTGTGTCGGGTGCCGTGTGGTGCATCCGCGCAGCCGCCGATGATGGGTGCGACGGGCGAGCTCAGGCGCGGGGACGGACGGACCTTTAGCTGGCGTTTGCTGTGGTGTGGTGCCGTGTGGTGCCTCCACAGCCGCCGATGGTGGGTGCGACGACTGGTTTTTAACGGCGTCCCTCTGGTCGGCACTTGTCACCGCAGTGTTTCCTTTTCCAGCTGAATCCATTGTGTTTCACGTGATTGGACGACTAGCGGGGTTAAAAGCGGGCACTGATAGGCGTTGGTGGATAGGATACATTAATAAAGTCAAAACTGGGGGTCGAATATGTAAAACTGTAGGCGACGAGATGAGACTGATCGACTCTTCCCGTGGCCCATTAAAAACCACTGAGCTCATCCGAGTTCATATCATCTCAACCGTAACGAAAATGGCTGAGGTTAGACGCAGCTCAACTTGACAGAAACACCATCCCAATCGCCTCCACCCAGTTT